TTCAGAGTTGACACACTGAGTTTATGAGGAACATAGGGAGCAAAAATATAAATAAAACATATGTGGGTGAGGAATAATAATAATAATAATAATAATAATAATAACAGCTAATATTTACTGAATAGAATCTGTGCAAGATACCAGACTAAGAGCTTTATATTCAATATCTCATTTAATCCCAACATCAACCCTATGAGGCTGACCATTATCCTAACTTTACAGGTGAGGCTGAATAAGGGAAGTGACAGAACTGGGGATGAGTGAAGGCCTGACTCCAAAGCCCATGTTCTTCTTCTTCTTCTTCTTTTTTTTTTGGTGGAAAGAAAAGCAGGTTTATTCAGAATGCCGGTATTCTGGGAGGATGGCGGACTCCTGTCCTAAGGCCACCTCCAAGTCCATATTCGTAACTGTCCCATCTGAGGGATCTAGGAGGAACATTTAGAGGAGGAGCCGCACCAGGCTTTCCCTTCCCTGGGACCTGTTCGGCCGCCTTGACTAAAGAGCTATGGCTCCCAGGTGTGTTCAGCCCAGCCTGGGCTCAGCTGATTCACTTTGTGCTTTGAAGCCACTTAACACACTAAGGGCTCCTACAGTAACTAGCCCCTAGTGCAGCTGGGCCAAGAGGCCCTATTTCCCTGGCATTGGGGTGACAGGTGCAGCCTTGAGAAGATAAGTGACAAAGATCACTCATCATCATTGCAATTCCAACATGGTGAAGACCCCAGACTGCTGGGAAAGCCAACTCACACAGAGATGAGATATAATCAGAAACATTTCAACAAATGCTAATATCAGTCTCTCCAATACAGCCCTGTCAGCAGGAAGAGGGAATTGTGCTAGCATGCATGGGGCACGCTTTTTGGCACAAGGGACCTGGTTGCTAAGCAACAGTAGCTGGCCTCCTCTCCTCCCTGTAACCTTTTTCTGTTTCTAAGCTTCTAGTTAGCAGATGGGAGGGGCTGATGCTGCCCAGCCCAGCCCAGCCCAGCTCCTGGCCCCCTGTCCTGCAACAAGGGGTCTATTCATGGTTTCTGAGCAGAGTTCATTGTCTCTCTTGCGTGTGTCTGTGTGCGTGTGTGTGGAGGGGAATGAAGGGAGGGGCCATGTGTGAACTAGGGAGACCTCAACCTCCAGCTAAGCTGGCCGGGCTATTTAGTCAATGCTGATCCCAGAACAGGAACAGAACCCTTCCTAGCAGACCCTGAAGCTTTACATCGGTGCCACTGACTCATATGGTAAGGCTATATACCTCTGCACCATCCCTGATCCAGCCTCTCTCTCTTTCTACTGCCCGCCCCCACCCTTGGGATTCTTGGCTGGTGGAAAGAGCCTCCTCTGGCAGCTCTGGTGCAGGTGCTAGATCCTAGAGGGACCCCTGTGTGGCCAACTTCCTGGTTTTGTTCTCCCCGGGGGGCTGACATTTATTCTCCTCTCTTGTCCCCCATATGCCTAATCAAGTGCTTTGCATATCATTATTATACTGAACTCCTACTCAAAAGGAGGACCAAGAAGCCCGGTACCATTAACGTCCATTTTCCTAGGCTATCACATGAGCTTCGACAGGTGTGGGAATTGAGGTGGGGCAGCAACTGAGGTGTGGCCTGTTTGTCTGCAGTGGTTCTCAACCTGTGGGTTGCGACCCCTTTGGGGGTCGAACGACCCTTTCACAGGGGTCGCCTGAGACCATCGGAAAACAAAAAGATATTTACATTATGATTCATAACAGTAGCAAAATTACAGTCATAGAGTAGCAACGAAAATAACTTTATGGTTGGAGGTCACCACAACATGAGGAACTGCATTAAGGGGTCACGGCATTAGGAAAGTTGAGAACCGCTGAAAGGGCTGAGCTGAAAGGAACCGAAGCTCCTTTGATACTGAGACGGGAGGAAATGCTGAGCATGTCCTGGAATTCTTTCAGATCAAGCTGTGTTGATGGAAAAGTGGTCAGCAGGGGAGATGGGAGTTCCTTCAACTTTAAGGGGCTTTGTGTACTTGACTAGATTATAAGTTTCTTGAAGAACGGATCCATAGCTTAAACATAGTTCTT